TTTTCAACTTAATCATTTTTACAGTTTAAATATATCTAAACTGAGCTTTGGTTTTGTGGGCAATTGGAATATTGTATAGGTCGGTGTTGAGATTTGGTATATGGATAATTCTTCAATATGGCTTGGATTTTAAACTTATTTTAATATATTGTCCACATTTTGTTTGGGTGCTGAGAATAGTGAATAAACCGTAATTAATACTAAATCTTCTGTTTGGTATTCTTTTGGTTTTGGCGCCAATGATTTAAAAATCTCACATCATATGAAACATGGTATTAACTAATTTTGTTCTTGATTTCAATTTTAGTGGGACGGCTGGTGGAATTTATGAAAAATTCTGCTGGTGTATATGACTTTTGTTCTAAATTTTTCACAGTCTAGTTGTTGAGCTACTGATTTATTCAATTTTCACGAGTAAATGTACAACAAATGAATTATGCTGTCATTCCACTCGGTGACACAGCTGAAAATTGGAATAAAATATAAAACTGGACAACATAAATATAATTGTAAATTCAACATTGACTTTGTATTGGATAGGAACGAAAGGTAAAATTATAATTTAATATAAAATTAAAAAGATTTGACACAAAAAAACAAAAATTTTTCCGTGGGCCCGGTCTGGCGTATTGAGTTTTCGTTGGACTAGTTTGGATTAAAAAATCAAACCAATCCTATCCCAAAAATTTGCAAACACCTCCTTACTGTCGCTGGCCCCTTCTGCCGTTGCTGCCAGTAACCTTCTCCACGACCATGGACGGAGCTACCCAGCGAAGGACGCTCTGCAGAGACCTACCACCGAGGTCCAGCGAGGTATCCCCTTCTCTCCCTTCGTTACCCAAAACAGCCCATCGCCCCATGGCCCACCGTTCGCCTCCAAACCCCCAGCCAACCACTGCGTCCACCCCTTCCTCTCCAACCCCCATTGCCACCGAAACCCACTACATCCTACCGAACACTCCACAAACCCAAAGTCAAACTTTTACCCCCAGCCAACCATGGCTTTCACCCCTTCCTGCTCCTCTCACGCTGCCGCCGAAAACCCACCGAACGCCAAATGTTTGCATTATTGCTTCAATGAGTTGGATAATCTTCTCCTTTGGTGTTTGCATTATTGCTTCAATGAGTTGGATCATCTTCTCCTTTAATTTTTTTTTGGTCCAATGGTTTTTTGGTGTAGGTTGCAGTCCTTATTTTAATTGACTTATTTTGATGTAGGTTGATGATGTTTTTGATCTGCAAAGCCACCTTATGCATGGTTTCTTTCACTGCTATTGGTTTTGTCATCTAATTTGCATCGATGGAATTGAGGTGGTTCTGAGTGCGTGCGCGGTACCGAAATCATACCCATTAGCAAGTAGTTCTGAATTCACACATTTATTACTGCATTTACTTTAGTTTTATCTAGAGTATATGCTCTGAATTTCTTGCTTTGTGCATTTATAGGAAACTTTCAGTGGAGATGACAAACTATGGTGATGTCAATATGCTTGGAAACTTAAAAGCTGGTGAGGAATATTGCCCCTGTACTCATCTGAGTTTTACTTCATGTTTTAGCATTTTTGTTTCCAGCTACATCCTGATTGTTAATTTCCCTATTTTATAGGTCAAATGCATTATATGCTCCTTATGATTTTTACTGTTATCATCTATTGATACTCACCTAGCATTATGTATTCCTAAACTAGAAAAGGAATATGATAGTCATCCTGGGTAATTGTGACTCTGGTTTTTTTCTTGAGGTTCTTAATGTGGTTTGTTGAATGAATATAGTGATAAACTTTATAAATGTTTCTGCAGGTACTGTGGGGCTGTGCTGGATATTGTTATGACATTAGAGTGCGATTTTCCTTGCCCAAGTAACAATGACGTGGGACAAAGGTACTTGGTTCTGTGCATTAGAATCATTTTTTTTGTTATTGTTTTTGTAACTTCGCCTTTTTTTCCTTTTGCATTTGAAAAATAATATTTTATCATTTGAATAACAATGGGTTTGTTAATTTTATATTTTACATAGACCCTTTATGCTTTTAATTTTTGCCTTTGATTATTTTAATTGAATCACATGATTCAAGAAACCATGAAAAACCAAGAATTTGAAGGGCTACATGACTGCTTGGGGTGGATTGGTTTCTAGGAATAGATAAAGAGAAGGTGGATTAAAGGAGTCACAACTCTTATTCCTTGCAAGCAATGGGTTCTCCAACCTTGGAGAAAAGCTTGAATTGCTATTTGGTGTGCAAGAGAGATGCTTGAAACAGTGATGATAATAAAGATAAGGCTTGAATGAATGGGAAGTGAGAGTTTTGGGACATGGGTGGTTATAATGATAAGTGGTCGGCGGTACATGTGATAATTATTGGTTTTTTAAACTGATTTTTTTAAAACAGAATGATTTATTTTTCCCATACTTCTGAATAATTCGAGTTTGCGTATGGGTTCCATATGTTTAATACATTTTTCTATAGATAATACTTGCCCTTTATCAAACTTAGGTTCACAGTGTTATGCAAAGTGTTTGGAGAGACTTAGAAGAAACCATTAAGACTGTATATCTGACAGCTATTTACACAGACTGTATTCTAGGTTTTTGTCTTGATTTAACTTCAGTTGCAATAGCAAATTCAATTCAAGGGAGTGGATTTTGATATGTTTACTTGGTCATTACTAATTTTTTTCATTTTTTTATGAGAGTTTTGCCTATTTGTTTTATAGGATTTATTAAGAGATATTTTTGTTTTACAATGTGCCTTTAGTCACGGGTCCATCACTAGACTTGAATTCATCCTATTTAGTAAAATGAAGGATTGATTATACAATTGTGTACTCGTCTTCATATTGTCTAGGACTCATGTTTAGAGAAAATTTTGTCGCAATTTCTTAAAAATAATGGGCCCATATTTATCTGCTATTCTTTTCAATATTTCTAATTGGTGATTTTTTTGTGTTTCATGTACGGATAATTGTTGTTGGTTTATTTAATAAATACTGCTTTCAAACACGGCAATTACTAGTGCATTTATATGAGACATTGGATGATAGGAGCTTTACAGAATACCATCAAGAGCAAGACTTAAGAGTCGAAAGACGTAGAGGCAGATTGTGTGGGACTATTAACATGAATCACAGTGGGAAAGAAGCTTTGGTCAATTTTTACTACGTCCTTCAAGCACAAAGACTCTTGGATCAATCATGGGAATTCCGTCTTGTAAGCAAAATTGTGATCCATCCCAAGCTCATATAATATAATTTTCAAAATCTAGATGACTATAGTTTTCACTCCTCTTATTATGATACATTTTGGATTGAATTTGTAGAAAAATATGCGACCAAGAAAGCTTCAAGTCATCTTATTTCAAACCCTTGGAGCTGGATGATACTGCGAGTGAAAAGTTGCGGACATGGTCAAGACTAAAGTCCATTCAAATTGGTTTTACAATCCGTCTGCAAGCTGTTAAAGGTCAAGCTTTTGGAGTATTTATGGGTTCAAATTTTGAATTGGACGAAAGCCAAAATTTAAGCGAAGACTCAGATTTCAAAATGAATTCGATGACGAATTCTTTCTAACTTAGGAAAAATTATGCATTACGGATGGTAAGAATTTTTGTATTTTATTTCAATGTGCTCAATGTCGTTGTATAAGGAATTCTAGAAAATTTTATTTTATTTCTTAATGTAATTAGGAAATTATTTAATTTTATTTTTTAGTTCAATTAGGATTTAATTTTATTGGGTGTCCTAATTTAATTAGGATTTTAGTTTCATAGTTGGTTTAAGATTTTTATTACTATGTAAACTCTTGTAAGCCTCGGGGCAAAACAGTTTTTGACGAAATAAAATTATAGATGTGTTTTTCTCCCTTTTTATCCAAATTCTTTTGGCATTCTTAAAAATCAATTGAAGTCTTTAGGAATGATAATTTGTTTGAATCAACAGACCTAGAATAGAATTTTAAAGTGGTATTTCTACAAAAATCAACAGTTTGGTTTCGTTCCATTTCTCAACCTTTTTAAATGTTTCCCTACATCACATTAGTTTTCTTTAGAAGTGTAATCCGAATACAATTTCGAACAATAATTTGCCCAAGTATCGCATGTGCCACGAAAGTCAATAACTAATAAAGTCTTATTCAAGAGAAATTCATTGCACAAAATTTCTATAATTATAGTGCTTGGAGAAAATCAGATTTACATGGTAAGTTTTAAATAGTCTCTCTCTCATAGAATTTGTAGAAGGAGAAACATGGCAGGTTAATACTTGTACTTATATGTTTGCCCCCTTTTTCACTAACCAACGTGATGAATTCAGAAAATGTTAATGATTCTAATGTTTTAGATTAGATTTGTGTCCAAATAGAAATTTGCACCCAAAAATGGGAAATTCAAATGGATGTCTACAACTTTTGAGTTTTGCTTTGTCCTCTTCTTCTTGCGTGTATAACATCATAGAGGCCAAGTTCAGTAAGCAACAGATAATGGCCTGTGGAAGGCCATAGTGCAGCTTGCAGTTAACATCATGATTGGTAGAGATATGTCCTAGAGGCACTGTGTGAAAAATGATTTGGAAAACATAAAAAAAAATAGGTGCATGAGTCTCTTCTGACCATGGCCCCTGCAAATATCAGATGATATTTGTTTATGCCGATAGATTGTTTCTTTAACTAAAAATTCGTGACACTGTGGTCGTAATAGAGTTACCATTGCACTAAGTTCTACCCTCAGTCGTGTGCAATTGGTTTAATTAAAGACAAAAACATTATTCTAAGAGTGATTTTCTGTTTCCCTTTAAGGTCCCATTTTAAAGATTTAAGTGTGTGTGTGAGAGAGGGAGATAGAGAGAGAGAGATAGAGAAGGAGAGTATCTAATTCGAGTTTTCCTTGCAAGGGTAATATATTGGTGAAAATTAGAGTCAAATAAACTCATCGGCTTCTTATAACAGAAATTCTTCTTTTGGTTTCCAAATGCAGGAATGCTTTCGAGTTTTTGGATTAAAATACTGTGAAAATTTTTTGCAAATCAGTTCAATAAAAAAAAAAGAGAACACCCAACTCAATTTGGTGTCATACATTCACACTTTAGCACTATTGTTTACATAACTATAGTTCAAAATCGCTATATCTCTGTTTTGCACGACCAAAAAATAATATACATAAACATACGATGCTAGTAATTGGGTAAGGGATCATCCAGAATGATTTTATAGAAGTAGTTTCATCAATCCACAACTGTATCAGATGCAGCATTATTTTTAAACAACTTTTCAGCAATTTTATGACCAAGCAGCAAGCATTCAGAGTATCCATTTTATGATGAAGATCAACCCTCAAGTAGCCGTGCCAATGCCTTGGTTGCCTGCAAAATATGAACAACAATTCAAATAATCATTCAGAGCTGGCTTATGTAGTCTTAACAAGCCTTGAGATGCCCATAACTTCACTCCCCATTTGATTGCAATGAAAAGATGAGTAAACAAAGCAATGGTTTGAAATTATATGACAACCCTTCTACTAATTTCTTATCCCAACTAATTGTAGAATTCCCATCTTTTTTTGTTTTCCATGGCATTGTTGGCAGCCAGATAAAATGTTTGGTGGAAAATAGAAAGGAATAGAAGAAAAAAGATAAGAAAAGTTTGAGGGGAGATAGATGCAAACACAGAAATGCATCAATCGAGGATATTGTTATGTCATCTAACTCTTCTGACTATTGAATTAAAAAACAGTATGAATTCATCAAATGATGTTATACCAAATGAGGTAGCGATATCTTACGCATTGAATATTTAGTAGAAGTGAGTGAGACCTACGAATTCAACTATCTACATTGATTAGTATGCAAAATTTGGTAAGCGTTGTAATACTCTTTTTTCAGTTTGCCTAAAAAAGGTACCAAAATGTATGACCACACAAAACTAGATGTATGATAAGATTAAAAGCAATTGAAGCCGAAAATAAACAAATCAAGAAAACTATAAGGAAATGATCTGTGTTTGAATAGAAAGTACAAAAGAAACTGAAGAAGAAATACAAATAAAAAATTGAAGAAAAAAAAAGGACAAACCAAAACAAAAGAGCAACCACACAAATGCACCAAGCAAGGGCAGCTATTAAGTTATGATAAAAAAAAAAAAAGCAGCTTAAAACGAATAAAGTAATATTCTATTTGGACTAATATTAATTAAAAAATAATAATAAAATAACTAATTAATGAGAACTTGAGTTAATTTTTAATAATCCTCGTAACATATGAACACCCGTCTAGAGGAAATGAAATTACAATATTTTTAAAAATTACATGTGAAAAAAAATTATTTGAAATTGATCAAAGACTAATTTAAAAACCAAATTTGGTGTTGAATTGGATAGGTTAGAGGTAAAAAGAGTCAATGGTATCATATTTTATCACTCTTCTCCATGAGTCCCACATAAGTGTCTATATGTTATTCAAACACTGAAAATGATAGGATATAACTATTAAATCCTAACAAGTCCAATGATAAGTGAGTTTGAATTAGAAAGGAAAAGATATTTTTTAAATCTCCAATCTAGTCCAACTCTATCATCCAAATACACCTTCAGATACATTCTAAAATCAAGGTCATGTTTAATTCGTTTTATATATGAACGAACCTAAATGAACTCCAACATGAACCAATCACAAACTGTTCATAAAAGGTTCGATTCATATGCAGCCCTAACCTACTCTTATAATCGAACACACAATCTTTAGGGTTGTTTATAATTAACCATTCTTGCACCATATGCATAAAAGGAATTATGATCCAGTTACTCTAAAGAGCAGAGCAGGAGCAATTGCAGGGAGAAATAAATAATACATCAACAAGGAAGTCACAGAAATTTACCTTCTAAAGTTTATTTTTATCTGCCTGCTCCACAAGCTGCTGCTGGCTACCACAACCATATGAATCAATCAAGGTTGTATTTTCCGATGATTGATCCAAATATCACGAACATGAGCTATCTTTGGCCAGTCCTCTCCTTTCTCTTTCTCGCATCGCCTCTCCAAATGTGGAAATCCTGTAATATACAGTGCTCGGAGAGCATTTAAATGTTGCATGTCTTCGGGCAAAAACGTCATCTCTGGACAATCAATTATGTACAAATTCTGGAGAGCAGTCAGGTGTTTTACTTCTTCAGATAAACAACTTAGTTTCTTACAGTGCTGTATGCTCAATGATCTCAGGGAAGACAAGCCTTGTAACCCTGTCGCCGGTAAGGATGTAAGGCTGTCACAATCCTCTAACTCGAGTCTCTCAAGGGAACTGAGGTTTTTGAGTCCATCTGGTAAATACTCGAGAGAATTACAACAATAAATTGTCAACTCTTTCAGAGCAGAAAGATTATCCAGCAGATGTGACACAGTCTTGAGATTGTGTAGTCCACTAATCTGTAGGAACTCAAGAACCTTGTGATTTTGAAGCAGTCCATCTGGAAGAAACTCCAACCCATCAAACCAAGATATTTCAAGCCAGGAAAGTGAAGTGAGATCCATCACCGACCTTAATAGCATCTCATTGCTGTTTTCTATGCTTAATCTCCCAAGTGATGGAAGACAAGGAAATTCAGTCAACCTGGGACATTGACGGATGTATAATTCCCGCAAACGGGGAAAATTTTCTCCTCTATCAACTGTTGTCCATTCCTCCAAACTATGCATTGCACTGAAACTGAGCTTTTCCAGTGCTGGAAATGATTGTTCCCCATCTCCATAGCAGTCATTGTTGAAACACTTAAAAGCATCCATTGCACCAATAAAAAGAACCTTGAGGGAGGGTAGTTTCCCGAGAGGTGGAAGATGTTCACATCTCTTACATCCAACTAGAGAGATTTCAATCAGATTTTGAAGATCCAAATCTAGCATCCAACTAGGAAACTTCAAGCCTTGATACGACCATATGCTCAGCTTCTTTAGATTTGGATGAGGTTGGAGACCATCAAGAATTTCTTCATAATTATCTGGTACATTGTCCTCGTAATCCAATATCAGAGCACAAAGATTCTGCTTCCTCTTTAAATTGGCACTTCTTGCATCTTCTGAATTTCTTACATTATGGAGTCCCTTTATGGTCAACTCACCACCAAGATTTAATTCCTTCAGCTCGCCTATTTGCTGACCATGTTCCGTACCCACAATAAAGATGCTTAAAGTCTGTAGGTAACATAATTGCCCGAGTCCAGCAGGCATACAAACAAGAGAATAACATCCTTTGATGCCCAGATATCTGAGATTTCTCATTTTGTTCATACCCTTGGGCAACTTACGCAGTCGTTGACAATAATCCAGCTTCAACGTCTGCAGGTTTTGGAGACAACTTGTTGATTCCGGTAAGGATTTGATTTGAGTCCCCGACATGTTGAGGTACTTGAGATGTTTTAAATTCCCAATTGAAGATGGTAGTTTTTTAACATAACTCCATTTTGACTCCAGCACTTGAAAGTCATATTTGCCATTGGACAAATTACAAATATCATGACAATATTTGAACTTCAATAACTGTAGGTTTTGAAGACAACTACTTGATTCCGGTATTTTTATACTAGAGTGAGCCATGTTTAGGAATCTCAGATGTTTCAAATTCCAAATTGACGATGGTAATTTGTCAAAGAGACACCCATTCAAGTCCAACACTCTCAAGTAACGTTGTTTTGAGATGTAGGTAGCAAAATCCTTTACGTTCACTTCCCCTAATAGAAGTGCAATGGAGCGTAAAGATTTCACTTTTCGCACATCTTCGGATCGAGGACAAATCCAAGATAACCTCCCATAAAATGATAAATGGCAAATTTTTTCCGGAATTTTCAGCACTTTTCCAGGCTCTATTATGTAGCATTCTTGTATCATAATAGATAGCGCAAGATCATGCATCAGATCGTGCATTTTACATGTCAAGCGACCCATGTAGCCCTCGTTGACATCTTGAAAGAAAGACCTGCAAACCAAATTATTGAAGATCCCACGGCCCATACGATACAGATCTGTTTCTCCTTTAGAGTGAATGAAGCCGTTTGCAATCCAAAGCTCTATCAGCATGTCCACCTCCATTGCATAGTCTTTGGGAAATATTGAACAATAAGCAAAACATTGCCTCAAAGATGGAGATATATTGTCATAACTTAGCCTTAGGACTGGTGCGATGGCATTTTCATCATCTGCTAATCCCCAAGTTGCACTTTCTTTCACAGATAACCATTCACTTACGTTGTTTTTAAACCGCAACAAGCTTCCAAGAGCCTTTATTGCCAAGGGCACCCCGCCACATTTCTTCGCTATTGCCTTGCCAATCGTTTCCAACTCTATGTTTTCCTCGGATTCCTCCCTCCTTCCAATCCCGAATGCACGGTGCTTGAATAAAATCCAAGAATCATCCTCCGACAACCATCCCAGGTTAAATATTGGAAGAGTAGCCATCATGAGAGCAATTTTCTCAATCCTGGTGGTTACTATAAGCATACTTCCTTTTGCTCCACATCTCAATACATCTTTTAGTCTATCCCACTTCTCATTTTCTTCATTCCACACATCATCCAACACAAGTAAAAATCTCCTCCCACTCAATTTTTCTTGGAGGCGTTTCTGCAGTGGATCCAACTCTGATATATTGCACTCTACACCTTCTATCGACTCAATGATAGCCTTGGTCAGCCGTCGTATTTTGAAATCCTCAGATACACACACCCAAATAAGCAATTCAAAGTGCTTCCGTACCCTTGGATCATTGTAAACCAATTGAGCAAGTGTGGTCTTGCCGAGCCCTCCCATACCCCATATAGTATAGACCGAGAGATCATTCTGATGGCTCGAATTGTCAAGCAACACTTTAATTATCATTTCTTTATCATCATTTCTACCATAAATATCCGACTCAACCACAAGTGAACTAGTTTGTCTTCCCTCCAAGTCGTAAACTTGTGAATCAATTGCACCCTCTTTCAAGTGGAACTTAAATCTCTCCCCTGCAATGGCATCTAATCTCTCCCTTATATCTTTCACCTTATGAGCCATTCTTAAGCGAAATACGAAAGGATTTCGAGGCGTGAAGAAGGCACTTACTTGGTTTATCACACCTCTTTGACGGTCTTCCTTTTGTATGAGAGCTTCGGTCGCAAAATCATCCAATATATTGTCGACATCATAAGCTGCATCTTTGAGCTTTCTCAGCCAATTCTGCAGAGCCTCTTCCTTTGTTTGCCTGGCCTCCGCATCGTGAAGCACAGCTTGAATTGTAGTAAAAGTACTCTCAAGACGCCGAATCTCATCCTTTAGTCCCCAAGATATTCGAAATTCTTGCAGTAGTGAAGAATTCAAGTTTCCCAAGATGGTACTCACAAGCCCAGAAAGAAGTGCATCTGCCATACTCTCTTGATTTTGATCTCTAGCAAGAAGAAACTCAGCACAAGAAGATTGGAAGCTGAACCAATATTATCGCTCACACTTCGGTAACGGAAATGAATGTTAAGGGAACTCAGAGCCACCAGTGGGAAAGGGACAAGGGGTAAGCTTAGTCTACAACTTTGATCCATCAGTTTTCCATCTCGGGGTCCACACGGTATTGATCAGAGACCGATGAACACCTTCCTCCAATCGTATTACGCCACCCAATTCGATTCGGACAGAAATCATTTAAATTGTCCAAAAAATCTTAGCCAGTCGTTAAACTCGTAATTTACATGAAAGTGTCCCTCAATCAAGTCGTATTGGTGTCATCCTTTGAACAATGCTTACCGATGGGTCCGATAAGACGCACGTCACTATCTCTATTAATTAATTAAAATCACCATTTTCAATTAGATTATAGAGACTCAAATTAAATACTTACAAATCACAATATAACAAATAAAAATTAGGAATCAAAGTAAATCAGTCCCTCTCTCTTTCTCTCTTTTCCACATTGGGCTCCACACGGTTTTGAGCTTTCTTTCTTTGTTTTATTTCCCCGCGGCCCCCTTCTCTCTTGCAGCTCCGTTCCAACTTGAAGGGATTTCATTTGAAATATTTCTCAAAGTTCCATACCCTGCTCACTGTTGTCAAACAGAGTTCATAACGTTACAAACCATGTTGGCTTCATTTTTAATTTCTTGCATGAAGTCCCAAAATTAATCCGACTTGTTTATTATGTTCGGGTTGACCTGAATAACTAATAAATCAAAATTGCAAGACAAAGAATTTCATCATCTCTCAACTAAACCCCCTGCCCACAAGTAAAATTCATACAAAAAAAAAAAAATGGAAAATTCATGCTGATGCCTTATCAAAAAAACAAAAATATTTTCCTACAATCAAATCAACTTAGAGACAACAGGAAATCAATGATCCAATCATTTTGCTAGGTCTCGAAAGGCATTATTTGGCAGATCATTCCTGCCCAAAATTATGCACACACACTCTATAAATATCTTCCCCAGATGTCTGCACATATTCATTTTAATGTATGCAGTCAAATCCGCACCTATTACTTTCCAAACATAGTTGGGAGCATCCTGTAGGCTATGGTTTGTATTCATCGAGATCTTTTACAAACAATTAGTGTGGTTAGTCATTATATGGTCCTAGGAAGGTTCATTGGCACTTCGTGCAATATTCAAACATGTTGGCAACATTGAATAAGTTTTTTGGCCTTCGTTTAAAACACACATACATTTACTCTCTCACTACTACTGTATCTTCCCTATAATGATGCACATGCATGGAAATTTTTCATAGCCAATCCTCAGTTAGTTGCATGAATCTGACAACCTGAACCAAAATAATTTTGGAATAAAAAAAATCAAAATTGTTGGTTCGCAGCTACTTTATGACCTTCATGTTTACAATGTTATACTGCACATGCATTCCACCACTATTGTGTGCAACCCAAATCCCACTTGCTAAACCACTTTGTACGAGTCTTTCTTCAATTAATAGCTCTTATTGCAACCAGGAAAATCCCTTCAATTCTTCCACACTCAAATAGCTCTTCCTTATCGTCAACCCTCCGTTCCTCTTCTCCCCTGAATTTGCCAACTAACTCCCTCTCATTTTTCCGTCTGATTTTACATTGTTTGAACCCACCGGAGGGGTCATCGAATTCTCCATCATTGCCGACAACATATTCACAGTTCTTTAGTTTTGTTTTTGCAAAAATGACAAAAAAAATCAACCACTTCCAATATGATTAATTGATAAATGACACAGATTCTATTAAGATGAACCATTCATGAGACAGATTCCATTGATATTAAATGTTAATGAGATAGATTTTGTTAAGATTAACCGGTAATTTATCTCATTCAACAATTAATCTTCACAAAATGGATCAATTAAAATAAATTACATAGTTCAGGGGGATAAATTAGAACAATTGAAATTTATGGTTAAAATTTAAAACAAAGACAATAGTTCATCAGAGGGTATTTATCAGATTTACCCTTTCAATAAGTAAAATTACATTTAGACCACCTAAATTATACCTTAATTTTGCATTATCCTCTAGATTATCCACTCTCCAACATTACACCTTGAACTATTGGTTTGAATTTTGCAAAGCCTCAATTGTTGGCTTTGTCTATTTCTCTTTATGACGCCCAGCTGAGCAAAGAAATACCACTTCTCCTACAAATTATGGGATCTATTTTTATCCATATTTTTTATGAAAAGTTGGATAAAAGTCAATGAGAGGGTAATGTGAAGTTAGGATTAACAGTTCAAGGTGCAATGTGATTAAGCAGATAATTTAAAAAACAATCTGAAAGGACATAATTCAATGGGTCTAAATTTAATTTCCTTTAATAACATCAACTATATTTTTGTTTAAAATTGTATATTTGTCTTTATTTAAACTTCTAGAATATATTAAATGAACAGTAATGCTATACTGACCAAATTTAGAGCTCAAATGACATGACAACATATTATTTGAAGTCTTTATTGGGGCTCAAATGACATGGCACCAAATAAAAAAGCTCAAGTCAATTGCCATGTCATTTGGGCTCTAAATTTGATTTCAAAATTTGGTTAGTGTTGCATTACTGTTAAATGAAAAATATCATAATTTGTGTGTTTTTGTAAACAAGAGAAATTACCAAAATTCACTATTTTATCCATTATTTTTGAATAATATTATGTGAAAGTCGTATCTGAATAAGTTTGGGTTATAGTATTTTATCTCTATAAACAGAGTTGAGTATTACATAAGCAGTTTAGCAGATGACCAGTTTGTTAGTTAATAACACATCAATGCACCTTTTTGGTCTTTAGATGTAGGTACGATGTATCGATGTTAGTACACTACATTGAATCATGCTATATTTTTGTGTTTTGTTTTATTATTTTTTCTATCTTGAATTCCTATCTCCCAATTCATAGTACCAGTATTAACTATCTACTGTGTAAAACCAACAAGTACTATCAAAGCTAGATTGACGATCACAATGAAACAATCAAATTTAGATTGATGATCGTAGTGAAACAATCAAAGTAGGTTGTTGATGATCCAACAATCAAGTTGGTATTCATGTTGTACATTAAGGACGTAATCCTGAAATCTTTTGATACAGTGTTTGGATCCACAACCAAAAAAAAACACAAAGTAATATTATCATAATCAATGGCCGATGATTCTGGCAAAATTATTCAGGCAATCTAGCGTGCCAATTCGAAGATGGTTCTTCGAGAATTTAGGCTCTTGAGTTATAGCCATGTTAATATAATGGGTTGAAATGTATTGGGCTGACATTCACCTAATATTAATTTGATGTCACTTACGTATGTTTACTGGACACTAGGCTTCGTCTTGATAGATTAGGAAAACAATTGACCATTGAATCCTCCCAAGCGTAGGTATGTAGGTAGAGACGTATAAATGAAGTAGTCAAGGTGTGAACTCATAAAAGTTAGATTAGATTGTGGCTATTCGAGTAGATTTGCGCATGGTGCTTGAAGAGAGTAATGAATCAAAATTAAGGGAGAGTTGAATTTGATGTGGTTCATACATGAGGAGTTTGTTGGGACAACACATGTAAAAATCTCACATCGAATAGGAAATAAATTGAAAGAATCCTAACATACCTTGAATATGTTTATTAGTGACCAAATCAAATAAGAAAAATAAATTGGAAGAGTTCTAATATATTTTAAATAAGTTTATTAGAGATCTAATAGAAAATATTAAGATTATATAGTTAGTTATCAGATGATCCGTTTACTAGTTAATAAGACAACGATGTAATTTTTTAGTCCGTAGATGTAGGTACAGAGTACCAATGTTTTACACTGTATTGACTCATGTTATATCTTTGTATTTTGTTGTATTATTTTTCCTACCTTGAATTTTTAACTCTCAACTTATGGTATGAGCGTTAATTATCCATGTTGGGAGGATATATGCAAAATAGTTATTTAAATTTCTTATATAAATCATGCAACTAAAAACAAAACAGTAACACATAAACTAGCCAAATTTTTGACAATGAACTGTTAAAAAATTTGATCAATACTAGTATTTCACACTATGTTTTTAGGAAAGATTTCGCCTCCAGTCAAATACTTATGGATTGTTGAGTATTTGTCTCCCAAGATACAATAATTCATGCAAAACACAAAAAGCACTGCAATATATATTTATGGTGACACGTGTTTCGTACTATGTGATATGAAGACTATTAACCAAGAGATAAATGATTGTAATGATCGCCTTAATGATGAGTTTTTGTTAAATATAAATGCTAATGAATCTGGACATATTTATAAACGCAGAGGTGGCTCTTCGGAACAGTCACCAGTGACCAGATGCAACCCATAAAGGCACCAGAGATGCCCATTATTCAAAAACCATCAAACAATTCAAAATAAGATTGGTGGAAAATCCAAATTTAAACCAATGCAAATTTTAAATTATAATGGGCAAAAAGGTTAAATTTGGGTAAGAAATTAAGAACCCAATTAGCCAAGCCCATGAGCAATGGGCATTTGGTCCAATAGTACTCTTTGTCTTGTAAAGACTTTACTTTCTTGAGGTCAAGGGTTTAAATTCCCCTTCCCCCTTTCCCTCCCCCTCTCCCTCCCACTCCCAATCCCAATCCCAATCCCAAAAACAAAAAAAAAAAAAAGAAATTGTGAGAAGATACACCATTTCATATTTATTTGTGTAAAAATACCACAATATAAAGCATATGTATATAAATACCTTTGTGTCTAAATGTTTGGTAAGGAGATACACTTTTGTTAATTTTTAAATTTTTCTTGTAAGGAATTTTCCTTTTCCTTTATTAATGGGAGACAAATTTGGCAATTATATTAGAGATTCAGTTTCCTAAATTTATGAAGTAGCATTTTTGAATTTTAAATTATGTATTCCTCTTTTATTCAACTGAAATTATTCAAATATTCATGTCTTCCCCACATTTGTATAATTTATTTATTTTTTAAATCGTAATGAAAAATATATGTTTTTACCTTATATAATATCATTGGTTGTTATGGGTGTTTTTTTCATGGATATTTTAAATTTAAA